AAACAGTCGGTGACGTCAATTAGATGATGGTAGACTCAAGCCGGTCAGTGGGGATGACGACCGCAAACTGACACGCAATTATTAAATTGCAGCTAGAAATACCGAATGAATTGCTTGCTGTAGTGCTAATACAGCTGAACAAGATATAGCCATATGTGTCGAAAATGAAGACACCGGTATTAAAATTAATGCCTTCTTATCCTAATTTCCATCACCAATGTAGAACAATACCTCTATTCCCATTCATACCGTCGCCACTAAGTGGTCACGGCGGATGGCTCATGTGTGAATGACGGCTAAAACCTCAGCGGTAGTCGGGAGATGAACAATGGCCGAGCGCGGTCGCTCACCTCCCATAGAACGTTCGGTAACGCATCACTGACCACAGGCTGGCCGGCATCGCGCTGTATCGACACGATCCAGACGCTTTAGGGGTAATTTAAATACCCCGGAGTAACGGAGCTGGGTTGTTGTGTTCTTTTTTTCGCACAGGAAGTATTCGACGTCGGCTGTTTTGTGTGTTGTTCAGCCCTTGTTGAATGGCAGCCTGGAGGCGATCTATAAGGATTACAAAATGATTGTCACTTGGAAGATATATTAAGAAAACTTCTTGGGATGAATTTTCAGGGGCCTTGAAAACTTCATTTTAGTAGCAATATTTGTAGCAAACATAATCCTGATCCCTCCGTAGCCCGATCCTCCATCCCTCCTTGGACTCCTGGAGGGTGGTCTTTGCACCCCGCGTCTGCCCTGACCTACCCCACCAGAGTGCCGACCCTGCAGACGGTCAGCGACGTCTGCATAGTGGATCATCTGCAGGCATTGACCCTGAGTGTCGGCCGGTAGAGGTGGCGGAGGAGCCCGTCACGCTCCGCTGCCCCCTGCCCACGGCCCCTGGGCCGGCCTCGAGCGGGCTAGTCAGGACGGCACCGTTAGACGGACCAAGACACACCGCAGACGGTGGACCGACACTCGGAGGGCACTCCCAATGGACACCGACGGCACTCAGGTGACGCTCTGACGGCACTCAGGTGACGACCTGACGGCACTCAGGTGACGACCTGACGGCACTCAGGTGACGCTCTGACGGCACTCTGGTGACGACCTGACGGCACTCAGGTGACGGTCTGACGGCACTCTGCACTGGTAAACTGACGAACTCTCTGGCATTCTAACTGGTAAACTGACGATAACTGGTGCTCCGACTGGTGAACTCTGGCACTCTGGCACTCTGACGGGACTCAGTTGGTACTCTCACAAACAGGCGGGACGCAGGGCACTCTGACCGGCACTCAGAGCGGCAATCATGAACGGGCACTCTGAGGAGACTCGCAAAGACACCCAAATGGACACTCGTGCGGCACTGGCAGGTAGAATGTATACAATTGCCGACCTTTCGGAGGCAAACACAGTAGCAAATGCTAAGCCTCGTTTCAATTCTCTATCTCACAACTTAGGATTGCTTCATTATGCATACAGTTAATTTTGTTACACGCTTTATGCATCAATCCGCTTCATCTACTGACATTAGAATACAAATATAGACGCATAAACTACCTACTAAAGAACGCCAATAAAACAACGCAATTTAAACGTTCCGGTCGGCAGAACCTGTCACTTGAAGTGGCCAGGTGTGACTTTCCCTGGCTGATATATCACGATACAAGCTTATACCATCTGCACCAGTGTAAATACCAAGTAGTTTTCTACCATCAACTTTCTCTAGTTCAACGGCGAAAGTGAAAATCTGTACCATAATTTCAATGATGGAGGAAATGACAGCTACAAAAGCTGATGTAAAGTAATTGTAAATAACTACCTACATACTACTACTACTATGTACCTACATACCTACTACTATGTACATACTACTTATGGTTGAAAATGTGATCGTAATAACATTGTTCAGTCAAAGTTAAATTTCAGCTAAAAGTTTTTTATTTCATTTAAAAATGCTAAAACCTTAACACTTAATATAGTTCAATAAAATTTCAAAATCGAGTTCACTTGTAAACGATCCATCAAAAGCATGTGTTTCAAACATTTCCCAACAAAATAAATTCACTAAATATTTCCAAACGACAGTCATGCATTCCGTGACTGAGAGAACACCGTACATACGCTATGTCCTCGTCTCCGCATAAATCAGCTGTTGGGGTCACCCTAGTGTCCAAAAGAAGGTGACAATTATCCTACTTGTCTGTAAAGACCGAATATCCTGGAAGTCACTGTCCGAAGACACAGCTATGCGGAACCGATGAGGCAGTTTGGGCACCCACTGACGTGAAGGGACGTGGTTTATGGGTGCCAGCGCTCGGCGTTGACCATTGTCCGGACCGCGTCCTCCCGTCTGAACCCGTCATTCCGAACGGTCGGGATTCACCCCTTCTGACCTGGTTCCCCTTCTCAGGCACGTCCCCGATGTCTAAAAGGAGCAGTCTAAACGGAGGGTAGTGCCCCTCTGACCCACATGTGCGCCCATGGCCCAGTCCCATTCCCTCCGCCAGAGTCTGCTCAGCTTCCCAAGTTCTATCTGCGTATACGGGTGAACGAAGCATGACCGCATCTTCGAAATATGATTCACTCCAGGAACTAGGAGCATATTGTGCTGGGCTTTTATTTTCAAGAAATGGAAAAAATAAGCAGAAATGTTGACCAAAAACAGATGGCGGGGGTCACTGGTGCTCTGTTTATTGTAAGAGTCATATTTGCTATAGAAGCTGGGTGTGTCCCTACGAATACATATCCACATCTTGCGGGCAATCTTGACCACCTTATACAATCAAATCAATCACTACTCCGCACCCATGGACGTAATAACAGCCCACAATCATCGCCCGTTACAATATCCTGTTTACCGAAGCCACGGCGCTCTCAAGCCATCGGTGGGATAGGGTTGGCCGCTTCTCCTGGAGTCGGCCAAACAGACCAACAGTCTCCGGTGTCCAGTGAGATAACTACCGGGTGTGTGTCTCACCTGAGCAGAGCTCACCGTTAGATGGACCGGCCAACCATGTGAGAAAGTAGTTAGATGGGCTCGAGCAGTCTCTGTGACCACACGGAGCGGTCGCAAAGGAAATGACCAGCCCCGGTGTTTGGGTAGATGAGAGATGATGGTCAGAGGTAGCCCGGTGTCATAAATGATCACACTTTAGCTGCATAATGGATATGACCGACGGTGGTTATCATCCGCTGTCACCGTTACGTAAAGTCTGGTATTTTTGATGACATGGTTGCTCATGCATTACTTGATGGCTCGGCGATTTGCTGAATGCGTTGGGAAATAGGTTGAGTCAAGATGATCGTCAGGCTTTATACATGACAAGACCAGACATTACTGTGAATGACGAGGTGCAATACAAAGCGGTGCAAAGCGGTCGCATGACTCTGCATGAACTATTAAAATCCATAAAAGAGCCACCTGAAGGCATGGTTTGATTCGCTTGCATTCTGCCTATCAATAATATATGTAGGTTAGTGCCGCCCCTGTGTGCACTTGTGCAAGTGACAGGAGCATGCTTGCTTACTGATCACCAACCATTAACTATGCGGAATTCACCGTCGCTCGATCTCACTGCAGCGTCTCTGCCGTGACCGCAGAAAATACCCGTGGGTCAGCCAGCAGCCGGTCGGGTCAACCGGCCCGGCCGTGACCCGGCGGTCGGTGGTGTACCGAGCCTATAACCGCGCCGAACGGTGCAGCGGCTGACCACTCCGTGACCCGTCTCACGGCCGTGACCGGAACACAGGCCGCGGTCCAGCCACAGGCACGTTCCGGTTTCGGGTGGCGGCAGGTTAGCTCTGTGCAAGCACATTTGCTTCTAACCTTTGCAAAAGTTAGGTGCTGCTCCGACGTAAAATATTATATGGAATGCGGGAATGCATGCTGACAGTACGTCGTGTGTGCATAGGTGTTCGACAATAGATCTTTTTATCGTAGAATGAATGCACTGAATTAGAGCTGTAAATTATGTCAACTCATGTTCTGTGACTCCAGAGTCCACACCCGCGGCCGCAAGTCAGTCAGAGGAATTCCGTCCCACCGTGATCAGCTCGTCCAGTGACCGCCGGCCGGTCGTCCCAGCCGTCCCAGCTCCGACGGGTGGTCGCCTGGACTAATAGGACGGCCATCTGTGCGCCCCGGCGCGGCTACACCAGCTGGCAGGTGCGGGATCTCCTGATTCCCACAGCGCGGCCTCGGGCGGACCACGGGCCTCAGGCAGTCGCCGGCCGGGTCGCTGCGTCTCAGTGCGTACGACAGACGGAGTCTGCCGCGCCGGCTGGCCGCCGCGGCATGGCCTGTTTCTGAACCGCGCTGACGTGGTAAATGGGCAGAAGTGAGGCCAGGATGAAGAGTCGAGACGGAACTAAAAAAGGAGACTAGCCTTGGGTGTAGCTCCTTAGAACGAGCTCCCAATGACCGGGATACATTAGCGGAGTACCTACTAGATCGTATAATAAGTACAAACGGATTACAATGCTGAGGGAATATAAAAATCCGTTCGTTATATATGTATTTACTTATGCTCGTGTACCAATCCTGGGTAAATTAGTAAGACGGAACTCGGTGAGTATGGTGAGAATGAAAGCCGGACGTTCACCGGCCAGGTGAGTTACAGCGAGAAGGTGAGACAGAATCACCACAAGTCCAGCTGACGGTCGATTTGCACGTGAAAATTAATGAGGCGTTGGTTGAGGAAAACGGAAATGGTGGGCGAGTGCTCCTCCTCAACGCCATATGTTGAGCGAAATGGTTACCGCAAACGAGCCGCTGATAATATTTAGGGGGAAACCCTGAGAACAAAAAGTATCGAAGAAACTTGTCCACAGAATAGTGAGCACTGAGCAGTGCATTTCACGGCATATGCTTTGATGAATTCCCTATATTACGCAATGCATCGGTTGGTAAAACGGCTTCAAAGAATCATAATTTTTCCCACACCAGTTAGCTTCCATGCAGTGAGCCCACACCAAAGCTAAGAAAATGTACGACTCCTCACCTTTTTGGTGCGTCGCACCCAATAGTCGAGATCCGGCTGGGATACGAGGTCGGGCAGCCACGGATGGTTCCTGTGCACGGTCATGTACTTCATACCGACCCAGTCTACTACCGGGGAAGCAGCTCGTCCAACCAGTCCTCCCACCGCGCCACCAGCCGCCACCGCCCACCGTCTTAGCACCGTCAGGGCGGCAGCCACGGTCAGCCAGGCGGTCAGGTAGGCGGACGAGGCCGCCGAAGGGGGACGCGACTGACGAGACGCCTCCTTCGCGTGATCCCGCAGGCTGCGATGTGCCGCCTCCAGTCGTGTGGCCGTGTTGAGCGACATGGTGGCAGGAAGCTTGGCCGGCTCCCGGCTGCCGAACAGAGTCGGGAGAAGATCTGACATTGAGGAGGCCTTCCGCAGCTTGGCCTTCCGGTAGGCCGGAGGGGCTGGCGCCCCGGCACGAGGAGACCGGTGGTCCTTCAGGTTCAGGGTGATGTACGTTTCCGGCGGGAAAGGTGGTGGAGTCACGACTGCGACAGTACCGTCCTGCTGCTGATCTGGTGCCGGGACTATCTCATCCAGCGCGTTCTCGGACTCTGTTTTATCTCGGGAACGATTATGCTGATCCTGCTGCTTCCTGTCATCCACTGGCTCGTCATCGTCATCATCGCGCTGCCGCGATTCTCTGCCACCTTTCTTCGGCAGCGTATCCATGCTGGTAATCTCGATCGGCACGGCTCGGAACAGATCGCTGTTGGCCACGCTGCCGGTCGTGCTGATCGCGTCATCGGTACCCTCTCGTGCCGCCAGTTCCAGCTCCTGCTGCCGCTGACGAAGGTCCTCGATCAGACCCTGACGCACATCCTGACGGTTGGCGTACAGCGGCTCTAGCGGCAACAGCGATGCATGTCCATCAGCGCTGACGCTGCGCTGCGGCAGGCGCAGGCTGCCTGCCATCGACTCAGCCTCCAGCGCCTCATCAATGGCTGCGTCGATCTCCAGCTCGTCGTTGTCCATGTCCTCTTCGTGGTCATCGTCAGAGCCGGTGACGAGCAGGTCGTCGTCCTGATCGTCGCCGTCGTCGGCTTCGTCAACCTCACCGCCGTCGATTGAGTCGTTCAGGATGTCCCGTTTGTCTCCGTTCGGAGGTCTAAACGACGGCTGGCGACGCACAAAGCGCCGTGCTGGACGCAGCACGAAATTGTCGTTGATGGATTTCTGAAGAGGAGTGCCGTTTGCCGATGCCGCCAGTTCCTCCGGCGTCATCTCGGACTGCGGCTTTGGGTGTAGCCGGAAGCTCTTCTTGGCCTTGATCCTCGGCTTTGGGATCTCGATTTCAGCGAAGCACTGCTGCAGATTCTGCAGGCTTCGCGTTTTGTGTTTAGTGATGTCCTCCCCGAAAGCTGGAGATACAAATGCCACTGTTTTTGGCGCGGCTCGTAGTGAACCTGCCTTCAAAGAAGAGGGCTTAAAAGCTGCATTCTCTGCTGCTATAATCATCAGTGACTCCGGCTTTGGTGAAGGCATAGGCTTCTTCTTGATTCTCTCGCCACCAAAGTCGCTTATGTGTCTTGGCGCCAGCTGGTCTGATCTTTCTGCCTCTTCGACAATATTAGCATTGGCATAGAAAGTTTCGGATGCAATGAGGGGATTCTCGTACATCCCAGTCATTGACAGGTCCGACACGGGTCCTGATAGGGACGGATTTTCAAACATTCCCAATGAGCCCATCGGACTTTCATAGACACCGGATGAGCCAGCCCTTTCGGACTTCTTGTACGATCCAGTAATGGCTGGAAGTGAGGCGGGTGGCTGCGGCGCATTACGAGACTTCCTCCGCGGGACAGCGTACAGATCACCGTTCTCACTCGTCTTGGACGAGACTCCGCTGTCGCTCCCACCCTCCTTAGCGTCAGCGTGTTCGTCCAGCGGGATCTCAAACAGCTCCTGTGCCGAGAGTTTCCCGTGACCACCGCCTCGAAGATGCGGCTTTACGATCGTCCCCGTGTTGTACCGCATCTCCACGACTTCTTCTATGATCTCCGGGCACTCTCGCATCATCTCGTATGTGCTCTCGCGCTTCTGTACCCGGCTGTAGAGGTCGTCGGTAGCTCCGTCGGGCCGTTCTGCGTCTCGGTCGTTGCTGTTGTCCGGCCATAGCGAGGCTAACGACGGCAGAGTGTTCTTGAATAGATTCCGTAACGATCCCATGGTGAGATATTTGTTTAACTAGCCCTGCACTAGCACCGATCCACTAATGATAAAAAAGAAGCAGTCAATAATCCAGTGACCTCATACGCACTTGAAGTCCTTCAATGGCGTGTTCCACTCCACAAAAGTCATCGCACCTCATCAAGTCCAGCACACTAAATGTCCATCACCCAGAAAGTTATCTGTTCTTCGAATCCACTGACAAATAGTCCTCACGCCATAGAGTCCCGAGTCCAAGCACTGATCCTTCCTGCACTCAGTGGCCCCTGTGACAGCCGACACACTCGAGTGAACTCAGTCTGTCCACACTAGCACAAACAGGCGCCAGGACCAGCACTGACCAGCACTCACACCAGCTCTGTCCGGCGCCACCACCAGCACTGACGCCGGGTGGACCGTGTCCGCCGTCCGGTGCCGACGCGGCCGCGTCAGTCGCCGCGGGCGACGGGAGCACACGTCCGCTCCGCCCGGCCGCGCGCCACTGGTAGATGACGCCAAAAAGCACCGCACTCACCGGCCGCCGGCGCTCGTTTCACGCGCTGTTGATTGACGCACTGTGGGAGGCAGCCTGGCCGAGCTGTACTGAGTGTGAGCGGCGTGGAGAGCTGGAGACTCGGTAGCGGAGATTCATCAGAGAAGGTGTCGGTACAGCATCCAGCAATGCTAGGTCGGACTATGGAAACGACTCCCCGTCTGATAAGCTCGCTAAACCTGTCCGTCACCAAGCCTGTCTCATTCATACTGCTCCTAACATGCTCCTCTCACCAATGAACGGCATGGCTTCTCAACGCACCTGACACTCGGTGAGTTTGACCAACAGGACAAGCAAGCATCGGGTCGGTGCACGGCTACCGTAGTCGAACATCAACCAATCACCATCCGGCTACGACGGTCACAGCCAATCGGAGGCCACCGTCGCGCCTCACTGAGCACCGGGAGAGGGAATGAATCTCATCCCGCTGTGGGGTCCCGAGCCGGTCAGGGGAAGTGCACGGGTCATTGCCTGCTGGGTAGTGGTGTCAATCGGAACTTGAATCTTCGGAATTCCGATTTTGTCCAATGTCCAATTCGGAATTCGGTTGGACAATGACAGCAGGCTTTGGACAACTTTGGACAATCTCTTGCTACACCTCAACATTTTTACAAAGTAATCGTGTTTAACATTGATTGGCTATTAAAAAGCCAAGCTTTCGATATGATTAACACTTTTGAGCTGGTAACGATGCATTAACAGCAAATTAAATAACGGTGTTGAGTGTAAACTATTGCGTAGATGTCGGACATCTTTGGACAAATGGCTGGCTTGGACATTTTTGGACGGACAGTCGACGCCAGCATTGGACATTGGACGGACATTGGACACATGTTTTCTGAAATTGACATCACTACTGCTGGGGTCATGACCTGAGCTGACCGCGACCGCGTCCGCTCAGATCAGCAGTGATCTTTTTTCATCGAAACGGTTAGTTAAAAATATACATAGGTATAAAGATAGATTAAAATTATGTGCATTCATACCATAAAATGTGCTACCAATCCCCCTTCGCAAGAACAAGAATGACTAAAATAAAAGTCATCCATTTGGATGACCTTTTTCTCCTACGAATGCCCAATTACCTGAATAGTCATTAGTGAAGCCAAGTCCACAATACCGTGAAAGGGAATCGGCTACATGCCAGCAGCCAGCTCGCCCACACCATTATTTGGAACTGGGCCGTATTGATAGCGATGCCCCACCATGTGGTTGACAAAAACCAGCCCGAATATAGACCGACCAACAGGTTCGGTCAGGCGATATCAGGTTCGTCAATAAAGCAGCCGGGTGGGTCACTAATATCGGGACCACGTATAAAGTTTCAGACCTGCATGCGCTTACTGGGGCACGTTTGCTTTCTCTGGTGACATGAGGTCAACCATGATGCCTAATCAAACTGTATGCCTGCCTTCAGTATGATGCGATGAATTTGTGAGAAGGCATGGTTGCCGAATGTTGAGCATCAATGTACTATGTGCGCAGTAAGTACGATAGAATTATATCGTTTTGCAAGAACCCGAAGACGTTTTTTATGCTCGCGCCTTTTTTGGAGGAGATTGCCGTGGTGGCATGGTGCGAATGATTTTAAATTTGCGCCTTCTTGAAAGCAAAAATGTCATGGTGAGGGACTTTTCGAAGGTCAGTGCTGGCCAAAAAAAAAAAATAGAAGCACACACAAAACTGAAAAGTGACTGAAAAAAATCTTATACCGTTAGGCACCGCTAGAAGTTTTTCCTTCTTCATCTGCAAACACATCACCTTGTAATTATAGGCATACATTATAAAACCTCGCCGTTCACCTGATAGCCACTGCAGGCCCCAAGTGAGCGATTCAATGAGCGGCACATGCCATTATTCGCACCGCACCGCTCTGGGTCCACCCTGCCCTGTTTCCGGTTGACTGCACACGATGCGGAGAGCAGGGGTAGGGTCACGTACCGGGCGTGTGCACCGTAACGGCAGCTGCAACGTCATGCTGCACTGCATGTGAACGACAAGGCTATGTGTGGATGGTAGAGGTGGAAAGGGGAGGGACAGGGGAGGGGCATGAAAAGAGTGAGGCGGGTTAGGCGATGGATTGGGGGACAAAGTAGCAGACTAGGAAGCTTGTTATTAGAGTGATACATCTTCAGAATGATCCGAGCACCGTCGCGTTGGCTGTTTCTTCTGTTAGATGTTATCCGGTAGGTATGAAGTAGAATGGCTGAATAGCTGTTAACACGGCTCACAATGCATATTTTTATCGCATATAGCTGCAAAGGTAGACGACGGCAGACATCAAACAGCAGACGGCAGACGTGCCGTTGTAAGTAGCAGGGAATGGCAGCTGTGACCCTGGCGGCGGCCACGGACGGTCATTGGTCTGTCCACCAGGTGACCGGGGTCGGTTGGCTGCTGCAGAAACGGTCAGCACTCGGGTACAGAACCGTTCCGGTCGCTGAACTCGGCGATTCATGGTTCGGAATAGGTGAATAGGCGTAATTTGATGTGCTTAAGCTATGCAGATGCTGTATTGCCTTTCATGGCCGGAAGAGGAAGAAAAGGAAGAAACGAAAATCACACTTCAGGAAAGAAATTTAATTCCAATATAACATAGCTCCAACAGTACGAAGATTGCTCCGGTCGTTTTTCAAAAGAAAAACACAATTCTAACGAATAGTGTTTGCCTTTTTCATACAACCTGCGGTTATCTCAAGGAATGAATCTTCAGAAGCAGGCTGACTAGCTTGCATCACTAGTGCGATACAAAATATATTTTGTATCGCACAATAAAGGTTTATAAACCTTTATTGTCGACGCTTCTGAAAGCCCACCCTATGACTAGCTTCACGAGAATGGCTGGGTCAGTGCATCAATGCGTCAGCAATCAAATATCATGGTCAGTTGCTTATAGGCACTAGGCAACCCAGCCTCAGTCAACAGCCGCAGGTATAGCGCTGGCAGCAGCGTTTGCCGTCAGGACGTCCTCACACCATCTGCCAGGGCCTATCACGGACCTCAGCTCGTACAAAGGAGGCCTCGCCGCAGCTGACGCGTTGCCGCCACTTACGGCTACCTGCGCCGGGTCTGCCGCGCGTGCGTCACTGAGGCGCCAGGTAGACGGGCCAGGCAGACGACGGACGCGGTGTGATGATATTAACGGTGATGGAATGAGAAACTGATAAGAATAACAATGGCTGTGGGAACATGATATCCAAACAACTACGAGACATCAGGTTAACGAATATTTCGATAACAAGCTTCCCGTAAAATTATCCAGTTTGGTAACTTACTGAGTAGGTATCCTGCTATTTCAAAACATTGAAAATTGCAACGAAAATATAGGAAGAACGACCTTTTTACGATCAGCCATCCTTATCACCCATGGTTGCATACAATTTAAGAAGCTGCTTTCGATTGTAAACCATCGACGAGCGATATCTAATGCTGACACCCGAAAAACATTCGCGATGAGTCGTGTCACACATTCTCTAATATCAGTAGCTCATTGATCATCAGCCTGAGATCTAGGGTAAAACACTCACGACACATCTCTCACGCGATTGAATAAGACATTGTATTAAAGGCTAAACAGCATCACTGGTTCAGCGAAGGTGCCGCCTATCACCCGCTGGGTCCTCCCATGGGCGGCATTGTTTCCCTGTTTCCGTTAGCCGTCGCCTGAATCAGTCTCTGAACATATTGGACGGCAGCCAGCGTGGGAGAGGACACAGTCAACACACGGCCACAGCGGGCCGAGTGGTCGGAAACCAGGCCAGTTCGAGCGGGCCCGGCGCGCACCCAGCGTGAAATGAGACGCTCCGAGACCGCGCGTCGACCGACCGAGCAGGCCAGTTCCACTCAGTCCGGGGACACGGTAATAACTCGACTCACACGGACACTGGACACAGGCGGTGGGGTAGAACTGATATGGATAGCACCGTTTGTTGGATTGTTGGGGACGGCGGAGGACCGATAAGAGATCAGCAGCGCGTCACTTCTGAGAGGAGATCGAACGGCATGTGAGGACCAGAGCGGACCCGTGAGACGGACTGGGGACCAGACGGACCAGCGAGAAGGGTTGACGGCTCAGAACAGACCATGAGCTCGAACTAAGTAGGCAGTGTAGCGAACGAAGGACCGAGAGCGGACCGTCGAGTTAGGTGGAGGACCTAAAGGTGAAATACGAATAAGTAACGGGAATATGAAAAACGACAATACCTAAGTGTTAGACAAAGCATGACAACTGCTTTTATGATGCTTCATATCAATCGAAAAGATGACGAAACAACCCAGCCGTCCTCCAAAAGTAATGCTGTCGAGTATGTACACCAATACCGTCGGCACGGCGGACGCCAGCCCAACAGGTCGTACCGCGGCGTACCATCCTCCCGCACGGCCGTGCCCGGCGGCGGCGGACGCTCGCGCGGCTCCATCACCGACAACAGGTGGCCGAGTTATTCACCCCGCAGACCATGGGTGGGCGCCGCCTCACCAATAGAGCCGGAGGTAGAGAGACAGAGATTTCCACAGCTGACACTTGGTATGTGATCTATCTACCTTCTATACACTCCGCGGCCCTCGGGACCAGCAAGATACTTTCGAGACACTTTCATCAACATTGCTAGTTCGCATTGCATCATGCCAAATACCAGCCAATTTCGCGTGATTCCCCCGCCCACCCTGTTCGCCCTCCCTGCACGGCAGACGACACCAAACAAATCCACTTTATTTGTGTGGCAAGCCTTCCGTTTATTGATTTGGTGACTGGCGGAAGGAGGGTGTGGGTGGCCTACCCGTCCGTTGAGCTTCCACCTGACCCATGCCACTTGAAGGGATTCCCAGAACGTTGACCCGGGCTAGAC